TTTCAAATATTTGCCATAGTTCTCCAAGAATTTCTCATAATCCTATAACATGTAAAGATTAAGTTAACAAAACAAGAAGAAACAAGTAAAATCTAAATTCTATTTATGCGTGGCACCAAATATGAAGATATTAATTTCATGCGAAACTTGGTTTTATAGGCAGACGTTACCCACTTGAGTAATGTAGAAAGCAAGGTTGTCACTAGGGACATTCTGGGAATCATGTCAAAAGCCTTTCGAACCAAACGTTTCCTCATACTACAAACCTTCTAAAACATCACAAAAGGAATTTGCAATTATATTCATCAACAGAACTCAGATATTATAAACAAAAGTTCACATTAAAAAGAAATGGCTCCACATACGATGCGGGTTTCCTTAAGAATCTCCATGAAACACTGAGTGGAAGATCATTCGAGTATGAAGCTTAGATACCGAGGAAACTGTTTGCAACAACTGCGGCTCGAACACAAGATCATCAGAAATCATCTGAAATGAAAACCCTTTCCACATAAAGCCTTATATTTTTTTGTCTTCAGATTGATTATATCATCCTTCCGCATAGGAGTTATAGCTGGCACATAAAGTACACACCTAAACTCCACCTAACCTTGCAATAACATTAACCAAAAAAGCCAAACAAAAACAGACACCATTATCTACAAGCAGATAAATATTGGGACTCAAGAGTAGCTCTTGTGTAGAACCTAGAAGTTGTATATTGTATTTAAGAATCAATATCTATCAAAGCTTGCACAGAAACAAGCATAAGGCTGTGTTTTTTTATAATTGCCTGGTAAGAAAAGGTATAGAAGCTTTTGTACCTCTGTTGTGAAGCAATGGATCCAAATATTCATTGAAGGTTTTCTTGTAAAATTCATTATACTCCTCTGTTGTCACGTCCTTGGGGCTGAGAAGCTGCAACAACAAGATAACCATGTAATAATTCTTTCACAATAACCTTTTTCTACGTAAAATAAATACTAAAAAATACAAGAATCCTCAAACTTACCCAAATGGGCTGGGTCTCGTTAGTGAGTTCTCAGTCCCAGTATCTCTTGACAACAGTTTTTTTTTCTTCTTATTCTGTTATAACATCAACAAAACAACCAAATAAAATTTTCTCTGTCTATGCTTAAAATTCCATGCAATTCATACATAAGACATGCTTAATGTCTGGTTCAGAATAAATGAAATATGAGTCACCTCAGTTTTCTCCTCTTCACCATCCTTTTTGGCTTCAGGTGGATCCTCATCAATCTCAATGTGCGCAAAGATTATGCATCATGGCCAATGTAAAAGCAATTTACAAAGACACTTCAAATCCAGTATTTAACTGGCTCTAGTGGCCATACCTCTTTAGTATATCCCTTTCCTTGCTCACTGTATATTGGGAAGGAGATAAACTGCGAATTTTCACTAGCTTCGAAATCCGCTCTGGATGTGCCAAGCCCTTGTCATCACACTGAAAGTAGGAGGAGATCATTTTCTAAAGACAAAGAAGACCTGCGTGAGCTCAGAAGTTTTTCAGATAGAAATTAAGATATTTGAAGAACATTATCTAGCACACCTTAAGATACACGGTAAGGTGCGTTCCTATAGGAATGAGCTTCTCTGGGTCTGTTTCCTCTCAAAAAATAGTGTAAGAGCAAGCATTAGCTTCTCCTTCCCATACATACTTTATTAGACCTTGGTTTCTAGGAAATAACCTATCAGAAAAAAGGAAAGCCCACACCAAACTGACCAATTAAATTACTGTCAGCACCAGCACCCTTGCTTTCCTGTGGACTAATGAGTTATTTAGTTCATCATCTGAATACGAATAAACCCATGACTGAAATACAGCTTGAAAAGTCTTTTACCTTTATTGCCTTCAAAAACTTAGCAGCGCCACTTTGTGCAATAGTTCCAAGACAGTCAACCAGATCTTGCCGAGTCATTCCATTGCCATGTCACTGGAAAAAGCAAAGGGAATTAAACTACCAAAGTTGGACACTAAGAAACCAAAATATTTTTGGAGAAATTATTAAATTAGTCCCGGATGTTTGGCACTTATTATTTTGGTCTTTAATATTTTTTTTATTACAATTTATTCTCTGACAAGTTTTATTTGTTTCAAGTATCTAGTTTCCTTCCATTTTCTAATGAAAAAACTAAAATAATTATGTCATGTTTCAATGCTCTCAAAAAAAATTAACTAATTAATTAAATTAATAATTAATAACAATGATAAATATGCCTAATATTATTACTAATTCATTAATCATTAATTTAATTAATTAGTTAAAATCATTTTCTTCAGTTATTTCTTAAAACATCCAAACATAGTCTAACTATTTTAACTTTTTCCATTACAAAATGGAAGGAAACTGTATGTTTAAAACAAACAGAAAACTTCAGGAACCAAACTGTAACGAGAAAAAATTAAAAATTAAATTATCACAAGTGACAAACGTCAGAGACTGATTTAGTAATTTGCACACAAAAATTTCAACTTATTGAACTTACATGATAAAAACAATCCCATTATCTTTATCAACTTGGATTTGGATATCAAGATTAACAGCATCCTTCATAGTGCAGGATCTGTAACACTTTCTCCAAGGCATCGCTTGCATTACTGTGGACCAGATACATAAGTTTAACAAGACAGAAAAGAGACTCAATAAAAGTCATCTCTGTGTATGGCCTGCTTTCCATTATGAAATTCATTTTATTATAGTCCAAATTTTTGTACAATCAAATGGGAAATTCATTTTATTTTAGCACAAATCTTTCTACAATCAAATGGTTTCCACATTTAAAATATATAATAATATTTCCAATAACTGCAAATCTTAAAATTTAACTATTCCCCATCATATATAACCATGAGAAAACTGTGGACAACTGGGTTTCTTTGCATAAACTAACATCCATTGCACCTAAGCATGACAAGATAATTTTTTCAGCATTCTGTGGGTTATATCAGCATCATGAGCTATTGGACGTTATTTCCAAAAAAAAAAAAAGGAGCTATTGGAAGTTATGTTGTTCTCTCAAACATGTATGCTGCAACAGGTAAGTGGAACAAAATTTCGGAAGTGAGAGAAATGATGAAGAAAAGAGGAGTTCAAAAGGACCAGGGATGCAGTTCAATTGAACATAGAGGTGTCATTCACGATTTTATTATGGGTGATAGAT